GAGAAAGGTGGTGCTCGCCTATTACCGTGCTCACTGGCATTTTCTTTCAGAGCATCGATCTCTCCTTGTCTGGCGGGAGGAAGCTCTGTGGAAAGCCCGGGCTACCGCTTCTGTCTTTCACAGCCTGGGCTTGGGGATCATCTGGTGGCATGCCATCGTACCTTTCTCGGAAAGTGAAAGCGGAAATAAAAAATAGGAGCAGAGATGGCAGAGAAAGTAGGGGAGAAGTTCGTAAACAGGCGGGAGGCCACAGATGAAGAGTGTGTGCGTGTGGATGCCGAATAAGTTGGTACTGTTGTGGTAGGTGTTAGTGAGAAGTGTCTGAAAAACTAGGGTTTAAGATTTAAGATTTTGTTGGTTCCTTGAAACTTGTTTCAGGAAAGGAGAATTTATAACCTAGGGCGCAAAAAAGTAGTTCTTGGAAGTTGGTTGGTGGAGGGTCATGGGTAGAAGTAGGAGTGAGCTGGAGTTTTGAGGATGGACACAGTAGGCTCATTTCTCTGTGCTGGCTGGGAGGCTTAGTTGTTTTCTGGTGTTGAAGGTACAGGCTCGAAGTCCACAGGGTGAAATTTTGAAGATTCTCTTTTATGAATGAAGGTGCTGCTGAAGTTATAGAAGAAGTCCATCTATTCATGCTGTTTGCGGCTACAGGAAGCGCTTGGTAGAGAAGGGTGACAAAGGCTAGGGGTATGAACACTGTGACCGGAAGAGCGGACGCTGCTTGTGGTCAGTGGGTCTGTTGGTTGTCTCAGAGGCCAAGACCTCTGTAAATCATGATCAGTTCTTTTTTTTTTTTTTTTATAAATTTTTTTTTTTTCAACATTTATTTATTTTTTGGGACAGAGAGAGACAGAGCATGAACGGGGGAGGGGCAGAGAGAGAGGGAGACACAGAATTGGAAACAGGCTCCAGGCTCTGAGCCATCAGCCCAGAGCCCGACGCGGGGCTCGAACCCACGGAGCGCGAGATCGTGACCTGGCTGAAGTCGGACGCTTAACCGACTGCGCCACCCAGGCGCCCCAATCATGATCAGTTCTAATGAGCCCCCCTGACCGAGGAGGTACCTCATTCTGGATTCTAAACTCCGTACCAGTTTAGCTTTCATAAACTTGGGCAAATCCTTTCAACTTTCTTTAAAAACAAGGGAGTTGAGCTGCTGGATTGCTAAGGGGTTTCCAGTCCATAGCTGTGATTTTGCGGCTGCCAAGGCTAGATCTGCTGCTCTTCCTGTATTCTCTGCACTGCTCCCAGCCGTTCTGGGCCACTGGTCTCCTCTCCCTAGATTGAAGATGGCGCTCAGTGTAGCGCTTTATGCCTGCTTCAGAAGTTTCTGCCCGGGGTTCTTAAGGGGCTGTGTCTTGTGACTGAGCAGACAGACGAACAAGCAGAACATAAAATAATTTTGCATGCGTATGGTCTTTTCCCACCTACTTTTTATGCTTTTAAAATAGTGCTTAGAATTACAATCAGCAGTTAGAATAGTACTTAGGCACCACAGCCTGAACTTCTGTGACCAAGCGGAATCCTGAATCTTCTTTTATTGTCCTTTAAGTGTGGGGAAGGACCCTTATTTAAGCAGTAGAAAGCCTGTAGCCTCCCCTCGTGGCATCAGTCCCTCATGGCCCCCGGTTTCCTTGGTGCCGTGGAGCATGTGATCATGACAGTGCAGCCTGTGGTGGAGACTCAGAGTTCTGGAGCCCGTCTGGGGGTTGAGATCCTGCTTCCACCTCCTATGTTTCTTAGCCACTCTAAGGCTTGGAAAAGTTTGTCCTCTTTCTCATTCGTGAAGCTGAGATGAACATCTTACAGTTTGTCTGTGTCGTGTGATTTCATGCATGTAAAGCACCTAGTGAAGCCTTTTGTGTACTTCTCTTGTAAATACGGTAGTATTGCAAATACAGTAAATTGAGTTGAATGGTTATGAATTTGAGCATTTTGGTTAGAAGGGTGACTCAGCGTGCCCTCCTTCCTCTTTGGCAGTCAGAAATTCACTTTATTGTTATCTCTGAGCTGTATTAAATCATTTTTTTTTTTACAGGGATGTAATCAAAATACATCAAAGCATAACCATCTTAGCAGTCACTATGTGATGGAAATATATACAGTCCTGAATTCATGAAATAAGAACATCTGAGCATCCCACTTACACATATTTAGTATTTTAATTGCTGGGGCACCTGGGTGGCCCAGTCAGATAAGCATCCTACTCTTGCTCTTGGCTCAGGACACGATCTCACAGTTCATGGGTTCGAAGCCCGCACCAGGATCTGCGCTGAGGGCATGGAGCCTGCTTGGGATTCTTCGTCTGCTCCTCCTCCTCTTGTGCTCACGCGCATGCACGTGTGTGCACTCTTCACTCTCGATTAAAAACATTTTTGTTGACTATGCTTTGGTCACGCTAGCCCTAAGACTGACGGCATTTCGTTGGCACCGACATCAGAGATTCAGAGTGTTTGAACTCCAGCTCAGCCATTTGCTATGACCCTGGGAAAGTTCATCTCTTAATCTTAGTTTTTCATCTGCGGTATGGGGATAATAACACCACATGTGTAGTCAGGTTGGATATAAAGACTAAATAAAGTAGCGCATGTAAGACAGCATAGTGCGTGGCATATAGTAAACGCTGAACTAATTTGTTTCTGTAATTATCAGTTTTTAAATGCCTGCAGATCACATTTAGAGGGGCCCGATTTTACTAAGTGGATAGCAGCATGAATTATTGAGTATTAGAACCAGAAAGAGGAGGAATTATTGAGTATTAGAACCAGAAAGAGGAGGATTACAAGCACCAGGTAGCTGTCTTCTTGAAATTTGCTAATACTTCACCTGTCAAATGAATTATGTTATATTTTAATGGCAGAATACAGGAGGAACATATGTACGCTCATTTGTCAATGTTTAGTCCTAGTAGAGAAAACGTTGTTATTCCCTGACTTCCTCTGCATCCCTTGATGAAAAAGAGAAACTGGAAAAGATTATTTTCCCATGGTCACTAAGGACCCTCTTTCAGACTAAAAACAGGTAGAATTTTACTAATTTACTGGACAGATTGAGTAAGCATAGACTATGTTGGGACCAGACAAGAAGGAAAACATGTTGAATTTATCTGACAGTTGTTTCTGTTGCATAGGGAGACCAGATATCTCCTTTTTTTTTTTTTTTTTTTTTTTTTTTTTTTTTTTTTTTTTTTTCCGAATGTTTGTTTTTGAGAGAGGCAGAGAGGGAGACACAGAATCCAAGCAGCTGTCAGCACAGAGCCCGATGCGGGGCTCAGACTCAGGGACCGCAGGATCATGACCTGAGCTGAAGTCGGATGCTCGGCCGACTGAGCCACCCAGGTGCCCCGAGCTCCTTTTTATTTGAGAGTTGTGAGGCTTTATTCGTTATCTCTAGGAGTGTTACAGATCCATTTTGAGGGTTTGCTAAGAATTAATGAAACAGTTGTAAATAACTACAGCGCTTTTCTGGATAGTGACACTCATTTCACGATCATCTCTTTCACGTTTTAATATTTAGTTAAGTTTGGTATTTATAACTTGTAAGTCTTTTGGGAAGTGTTAGATGTGATCATCTGACATTTAAAATAAATGAGTTTTTCTGATATTATTTCACATAAGTAAAGATTTAAATTTATGCAATAATCGAAAAGTAAAAAATACAGATTTATGCTTGGTTGAGATAAACACTCTTTCATTTCTGAGTGCAGATCAAATTGACAGCTCTTATTTTTCCCATAGTATTTTGCATTAAATGGGAAACTTTAGTAATTCTAGAGTTGTAGGATTTTCAAAGTCCAGCCTGGAACCGTAGTATAGAAACCTTAAAAATAGCATTAGTTCAGAATGATATTAATGCAGAAGAAAAAACTGCAAGGATGTATTTTGCGAGAGCAAAAGGACAGGATCACACCGTTGAGTAAAAAAGGGGGATTTGCTAAGAGAAATGGCTATTTCTACCTGATCATCATCCTGGGAAGTGGTTAATCCTGAGATTAAGTAAGGTTTCAACTGGTTTCAATGGCTGGGCCAAAACGTTACACTTTCACCCTCTTCTTGTAATTCCGGAACTCCTGTATCACTAGTTGACTTAGTAAGAAACGTGTTCTAGTTTGGATCCCAGTTGAGGGACTTCGTGCCAACTTCAGTTAAGTCATCTATTCATTGTTGTTTGTTCATTTGATAAATAATTACTGGCCTCTGGGTAAGGAGCAGGGTAAACTGGCATTTAAGAGGGATGTGGCCTTTGCCCTTGTGGAGCTCCTAGGAGCGGGAGAATTTCTGTGTTCAGCACCCTGGTTGTCTTGCCATTTGCCTAAGGGAAGTAAAAGAAACTGAAGGGTTTCTTTCAGTGCACAGGAGACTTGGGCAAACCCTTGTTCTGGATTTTGAAATACTGTACTCTGTTTTGTTAGCCGCCGTAAGGGGCTAGTGTGTTCCAAACTGAGATGTGTCGAAAAGTGTTGCCGCAGCCTCCTTGTCTAAACCATAGCAGTGGACAAGTGAATGCAGCGTGGGTACCGGGGTGCTAGAGAGTGGGGACCCTGATCCGGGCCACAGCTTTTTGATTTTTTTCTCTGGGAACCTCTAGGAAAATCAGCAAATCTCAAGTGGTCATAAATTTCATCTGTGGAAACAGAGCATCGGGCCGTTAGATGGTCTCTCGGTGCCGATCTCGCTGGGTTGTTTGGACACTTAACGGATAGAATATTTGTATCGTGTCCACATAGTGCTCGACACCTAAAACCAACAATGACAGAGACTTTATAGCCGATACTACAGGCCACACGCTATTCTAATTGTTAATGTGTGTATTAGTTCATTTAATTATTTCCATTTTATAGGAAGGGAACAGAGGCACAGAGAGGTCAGACAACTAGCCTACGGTCATGCGGCTCTGACGACACATAAGACTTTGCTAAGTGAGAGTTGGTAGTGAGGTTGACACTTGGTCAAAGTGGCAGTTTGTGGTTGTTGTTGACGTGTCTTCTTCTTTCTCTGTAGGTGTCATAGAGACCTCAGACGGACTTGACCGGGAGTCCACCTCCCATTACTGGCTAACGGTCTATGCAGCTGATCGGGGTGTCGTGCCTCTCTCATCGTTTATAGAGATCTACATAGAGGCCGAGGACGTCAATGACAACGCCCCACAGACATCAGAGCCTGTTTATTACCCAGAAATAATAGAAAATTCTCCCAAGGATGTATCTGTGGTCCAAATAGAGGCATTTGATGCAGATTCTAGCTCTAATGACAAGCTGACCTACAAAATTACAAGTGGAAATCCACAAGGATTTTTTTCAATACATCCTAAAACAGGTATGTGTTAAGGTATTATGTGAAAGGTTCATGCTTACGCTTCTTGATATGGGGAAATGAAGAATTTTCTTAATTTACCACTTTATTTTTGTAAATTGTTTCCTTTTCAGGTTATTTGAAATAAGGCTTTATTTCCTGATGAAAATTTAGTCCAAATGCTGTGTTTCTTTTTGAAATTGTTTGAAATTGTTTTTATGAAGCTGTTCTATGACTTTGCTCATTAGTAGAATTTCACTTCCAGGTTAAAAAACAAATACAGTGTTTCAGTAACAGCTCCTAAATTATTGATACATCCTAAACTTCCTGCAAGTTGTGCTGCCGCTAAGTATTCCCATTTTCTGAACTCTGCTTTTTACGAAGAATTATCAAAGGAACTTATTTGACAATTCAGTATTTTTCTGTGTGGTTTTGGAGTTTTTCCATCGAGCGGTGCTCTGTCTCTGTAGGCAGTAGGGGATCGAGATTAAGCAGTTTTCAGACTGGCAGCTGTTGCTTTCCTGAGCTGATACACCAAGTTTCCTTTCTGTTTTCTCAGTGTCTGACCCCCTACTTCTAAGTGGGTAGCTCCTCGACTCCAGAATCCTCTTCCAAAATCCTTGTCAACTTTTACTCCGTTCTTTTACAGATTTGACAGCCCCTCTGGTTTTTTTCTTAGTTCTTGCTTCTTTTTTGCATTATTTCACACGGAAAAGAGCTTCCATGTAGCTATCATTTTTGTTGCACTCGTTGATTTCTTGATCACCATTAAAACAGAACCACGATTTATTTGCAGGAAATGAAACTTCTTATCAAATAGATCACTGGCCTTTGAGCTTAGGGATGTTTCAGTGATGTGGCACTTTATGGTAGAATGTGGCTAACAGAACATTCTGAAGGGGGAGATTGGCTGAAATATATGTACATACCTCCATCCTGTGTTTGTTAATTTTGTCTTCCCTTATTCTAGGTGAGTTGGCCTGTTCAGTCACTGGGTTGTCTATTTGATACATTAAGGAAGTATAATAAACACAAATCAAAATTAAGGAGGCATTCTCTGTTTCCTTACCAGTCTTTGCTATCCCTTACCATTATCTCCTATCCTTACCATTCTTATTTCATAATGTTCTTTGTTAAACTTAAAAGCAATTCTTTTTAAAAATTTTTTAAAAATGTTTTTATTATTTATTTCTGAGAGGGAGCACAAGCAAGCAGGGGAGGGGCAGAGAGAGAGAGAGAAACAGACAGACAGACAGACAGACACAGGCAGACAGAAGGACAGACGTAGAATCCGAAGCAGGCTCCAGGCTCTGAGCTGTCAGCACAAAGCCCTATGCAGGGCTCAAACTCCCGAACCATTAGATCACGACCTGAGCTGAAGTTGGACGTTTAACCAACTGAGCCACCCAGCTGCCCCAAAAGAAAGCAGTTCTTAAGGTAGAAGGAAGCTTGAGGTCAGCATCAGTGTACCAAAATGACTGTACAAAGGTACCAGGTAGATCAGTATGTATGTATTGTCTCTTAAAAAGCATGTTAAAATGTTGGTTTTTTTAAACCTTTTGTCGTTCATAGAGTCTGTCTTGATTGTTGAAAATTAAACGTTGTCGTTCACAGAGTCTGTCTTGATTGTTGAAAATTAAATGTAAGTACGAGATTTATTTTGAATGTATGAGAATTAGTTTTACTTGGGTTAATTCTGGTCTAGCTCTTTGGCTAAATTTTGATGTGTCTCTGCTAGAGAATAAGAGTGAGGTTTGGATACTTATAAAGCTAGTAATTAATTATTAAGAATGATTGAGCTGACAGAGTATAACATCCACTGATGGTAACAACCTTCTGCAAAGTAGATCTAGAGGGAACATCTCTCAACATAATAAAGTCCTTGGTTGAAAATCCACAGCTAATATCATCCTTGATGAGTCCTTGTTTCCCCCAAGGTCAGGAACAAGACAAGGATGTCACTTTCATCCCTTTTTTTCAACATAGAACTGGAAGTCCTGCCCTCAGCAATCAGACAACAAACAGAAATAAATCCAAATTAGTCCAAATTAGTAAGGAAGACGTAAAACTCTCCTCTCCCTATTTGCAGATATGACATGATGCTATGTATAGAAAACTCTAAAGACTCCACCAAAAAACTGTTACAACTGATAGACTAATGCAGTAAAGTCACAGAATACAAAATCCATGTACTGAAATCTGTTGCATTTTTATACACCAATAATGAAGCCGCAGAAAGAGAAATTAAGGAAACAACCCCATTTACAGTTGCACCCAAAATAGTGAGCTACCTAGGGATAAAACTGAGCAAAGAGGTGAAAGACCTGTACTCTGAAAACTGTCAAACATGAAAGAACCTGAAGATGACACAATGAAATGGAAAGACACTACATGATCATGGATTAGAAGAACAAGTATTATTAAAATGACTATACTACCCAAAGCAGTCTACACATTTAATGCAGTCCCTATCACGATACCAACAGCATTTTTCACAGAGCCAGAACAGTCCTTTTAAAATTTGTGTGGAACCACAAAAGACCCCAAATAGCCAAAGCAATCTTGAAAAAGAATAACAGAACTGGAGGCATCACAGTTCCAGACTTGAAGTTAGATTACAAAACTGTTGTAATCAAAACAGTATTGTTTTGACAGTACAACAGTAGCCACACAGATCAATGGAACAGAATAGAAAACCAGAAAGAAACCCACAACTGTATGGTCAGTCTTCCACAAGGCAGGAGAGAATATTCAAAGGAAAAAGGACAGTCCCTTCAACAATGGTGTTGTCCCAACTGGACCACTTTCTTATACAGTACACAAAAATCAATTCAAAATGGATTAAAGATTTAAATGTGAGACCAGAAACCATAAAAATCCTAGAAGAGAACACAGACAGTAACCTCTTTGACATGGGCCGTAGCAGTTCCTTTCTGGATGTGTCTCCTGAGGGAAGGGAAGCAGAAACAAAAGTAAACTGTTGGGACCACATCAAAATAAAAAGGTTCTGTATAGCAGAGGAAACAGCAAAACTGAAAGGCAACCTACAGAATGGGAGAAGATATTTGCAAATGACCTATCTGATAAAGGGCTAGTATCCAAAATATATACAGAACTGATACAACTCAGTACCCCCCAAACGAAATAGTCCAGTTAACAAAATGAAAAGACATGGACAGACATTTCTCCAAAGAAGACCTCTGGATGGCCAATAGATCTATGCAGAGATGCTCAACATTACTCATCATTAGGGAAATGCAGGTCAGAAGTACAATGAGATGGTACCTTACACCTGTCAGAATGGCTAAAATCAATAACACAAGAAACAAAAAGTGTTGGCGAGGATGCGGAGAAAAATGAACCTTCTGGCATTGTTGGTTGGAATGTAAACTGGTGCAGCCGCTGTGGAAAATAGTACGGAGGTTCCTCAGCAATTTAAAAATACAACCACCCGATGATCCAGCAATTGCACTACTGGGTATTTACCCCCAAAATACAAAACCACCACAACAACAACAAAAACGCTTATTCACTAAAAATATAAAAACACTAGGGATACTTGCACCCCTATTTTTATTGCAACTTTATTTACAGTAGCCAAATTATGGAAGGTACCCATTGTTCATTGAGAGATGAATGGATAAAGAAGTGATACACACATACATACACACACAGGAATATTAATTCAGCTATGAAAAATGAAATATTGTATTTGCAATAACATGGATGGAGGTAGAGAGTGTCATGATAAGCTAAGTAAGTCAGAGAAGGGCAAATACCATATGATCTCACTCACGTGGAATTTCACAAAATGAGCAAAGGACAAGAAAAAAACCAAAAAATAGACTCTTAACTGTAGAGAACAAACTGACGGTTACCAGAGCAGAGGTGTGTGCAGGGTGGGTGAAGGAGGTGATGAGGATTGAAGAGTCCATTTATCATGATGAAAACATGAATAAAATAAAGACCAAAAAATAAGTAAATTAAAAAAGAATAATTGGGCCATATACAAATTTAACCATAGAAAGAGAAGTGGGATCTCAGAATTATGTTTCGGAAGCATTAGGGCATAGGGTGCAGGACCCTGAGCCTATGAAAAAGGACTGGTTAAGAGATCATACAAGAACATAAAGACGGGAATGAGCACCTGTAAATGATTCCTCACAGGCTTGTTTAAACAGCATACTTGCATACGTTTTTTACTGCACAAGTGGTAACCAAGTTTAGCTTCATTTTTGTGGAACAAAATGAAAGAGAACTAAGAGCTAAAAATTTAGCAGGCACTATCAGATACAAAAGAAGAAAGATCAGCAGTTTATAAACATTTCTGCGGAGGATTTCAGAGTTAAACTTTGCGTGGAAGCAGGGGAGTTCACAGACCTTGGGAGACCGAGAAATCCACAAGTTAAAGCCTTGTGAGAATTCAGGAATATAACTCACCCAATTTAAAATTGCTTGTGAACTAAACTTTAAAAGGCTTTCATTTTTCCTGTCTCCTCTCCCCCTTCTAGATTAGGGCAAATCTTCTATGAGGAGACATGCTAACCAGCAAGCAATGAATGTCCTTTAGAATACCTGAGCCAGGACTGTAGATCTGGGCATTAGGTATAGTTTTGGAGAAAGAAGAAGGCAAACGTAAAGAAGTGATGTCGGTTAGAGCTGTTGTGGGCAGCCTTGAAGCCTTCGTTATCTCTGGGGGCCGCTCAAAGGAAGATCCCTCTGCGGTGGTGTTATGTCTTGCTGAAATGTGATTAATGTGGCATTGCTGCTTCCTCTTAACATCTCTGTATTCTGACAGCTCCTAGGAGGGGATGTCTGCAGAGACGACTTCTTGATCTTCAGGGAGAATAAATCCCCTCCAGGAGTCCACAGCTAGCTCCTGAACCCCTGGGTGGGAAGCACATGCATCCTGCTGCTGGGACAGCGGGAAGGAAGTTCATAAGGATTCCAAAGAGGTTTTACTTTTTTATGAGTTGAAGACCGATAATAGTAGGGAGTAACTGTAGTTAGTACACAAGAAGGAT